TTGATATGGACTTCTTTCTATTTAAGAGAAATTGTTTCTTTTTCTCTCAGGATTATGAACCCGGCACCTTCTTAGTTTGGACATGACCTGATGCCATTGCGTCACAGCGCCCTGCAGGTTCTCTGTTTTCTGCATGGTATATTCAATTGTCAATAATGTATTCGTAGGCAATCCCTTCTTGTCCGTCCTGCATCTGTTGCAAAACTGTACTCCATGCGTTCGATTATGTCCAAAGCAAAAATTTCCTTCGATAATAATAAACAATCCCATGGCTGATCAATTCCCTCCATTTCCCTGATATTAAGGGAAATGTCGTTAAGATTAATAACGAATATTTGGTTCAGGAAAATGGCAAACTCCTCAGAATTTAAAATTTTAAGATGGAAGATATGACGATCCTAGTAAATCGCTCAAGCTTTAAAGATTTCTTGCCACCTATCTGAATCTCACAGTATCTCCTTCACTCTCTAAAAACTTACTGAAGATGTTTGGGTCAAGCATCCCTGAGGGAAACTAAGTATGATACAATTCGTTTGAACTCTTATTCTTTCAGACTCATTGTGCAACTATATAAAAATAGAAAGTTGGAAAATAGTTTTGTTCGCTGTGCTGTTTCTCCTGGATGGAAATTTATGCGATATTTACAGCTTGGTCATCATTTCTATTGCAATGTTTTGTTTGATAACTTTTGATCGTTTCCATCTTATTAAGAATATTAAATTTAATCCTGCTGTGTTTATTCAACGTTTATTGTTTCATATTCCCTTTCAATCAAGTCATGATCCCTGTATCGTTTTGGTTTGTCTTCAAGATGGCGGAAACTCCATCAAGTTTGTTTTTTTCACACTGGCCGTTTACCACCTTCAGATGCAAGAAGATCGCTGACCAAAAGACTTTCCTTTCTTTCTTTGGAGTAAACATTAAATGCTGTAGGAAGTTGAACGCTCTGAAGTCTAAGAAGATCCTGCAGATGTTGTCCATGACGTCAGTCTGTTATGCATGTTTCTTAAGTTGAGTTTCTTGTCATTGCACTGCTAAGGCTGTTCTTTGCCATCTGTTTCTAGGCCGTGTAATGAAGCTGATTCAGTTGCAGGTCTCTGAACTCTCTGACGAAATTTTTCATGTGCGTGGCCTGCAACCCGAGCACGCTACAGTAGGAAAATGCAGATTCTCTGTGCTGTTCTATCGGCAACGTTTCTTAGCTCACAGTAAGGCACCGATTTCACTGTCTTATCGGTCATACGTAGGAATGGTAAATGATCGTGCAGCAGTGCATCTGCCTACCACAAGTGAGTACTCGCCAGAATGATAAACAATTTGCAAGAAACACAGTTCGACTGTTTGTTTCATTCGCTTAGCCAATCGTAGAGACGAAATTCAACGCTTTCGAAACATAAACACACTGGGAAGCACTGACCATGTTTCATACAACAAAGGCTAACAAACTACCGGCTAGCAGCACATGCAGTGGCAAAAGGCGCTCGCTGTAGTAGCGGTGACGGCATCTACGGCACCGACACGAGGCAGAGGTTGACGGGAACAGTTTGTCCGGGTGGACGTTGCAGCGGTCAAACGCGCAGATGCACAGAGACACGAGTTCGTTGCCTCGCTCCTCTGAAAACAGCCGATTTCGAGGCAACGTGCGGCAGAGGTTGACGGTCCGTGTCATAACTTCAGGAATGAAGCCTTTTCGTTCGGTGATGAACAAAGAATCTGCACATCCGCGAATGAAGCTGTTGTCGACCTTGATGCCTAAACGTTTCGCAGGATAAGTACTTTGAATAGCCGGTTTATCGCGACCGAACTGGCCATCATCCACACCGACCAATGCTACACCGACTGGAAAGGATCAGAGACCAGTTGGCACTCAAAAACCATCAGAAACGCACGCTTAAAGTCAATCATTGAAAACACTAACCTCCTGTAGGACTTCTGATTTGAGTCTATAGGACGTTGTACGATCAGAGGATCAGAACGGCGGAACAGGAGGCTTGATCCTTATAGCGCCTGAACGATAAACTTCCTCGCTTAGATGTGCATATCGTACGCTTGTTATTCAGCTACATTCTGATTAATGAGGATAGGCTACTTCACAAAGATCGAAAAATAGCACTGTGCATGGCTGTAAGCCGGATGAATCGCTGAAGTCCATTGGGCGATTCAGATTATTCATTGATCAAACAAGGATTAGTTTATGCAGCAGATTGCCCGGTGCGATCACGCAGTCTGTTGCTGACGCGAAAGTACAGTAATCAGGTTTATGTTTTTAATTCCTCTCCTGTTTTGACCATATTTCGTCGTACGCATGAAATATCTCGTCATTCCGGTGGCCTTCCTGGGAATCTAGAATGATTAAAAGAGGATAAATATGCCAGTATCAAGCCAAAGCATTGAACAATCCACCCAACGAGAGGCAGTCAAACCAGCACCACCAAAATCGAATGAGGAGAAAAGAAAAGGAAAGTTGATATCTACGGAGATGTCGATCTTACCAGGAACTCATAGTCATTTCGATGACAAGTACCACTTATTGTGTCTTTCATTGAGCCTACGGTGTGGCACAGAAACCCATTTTCATGCCATCAACCATGTGCATCTCTCAAGGCAATGTGTGCAGTCAGGTGGTTCGTGCAGAATGCAACCTTCTGTTTCGTTTACAACAAAGTAGTACTTTTTTATCTACTTCAGAATGATAAAATGCAAACGAACACACCGTGATTCCAACTCATGATCTGCCAAAAGTCTCACACAACCTCGATTTACGGCTTTGAAAAAAATACGTTAGCTTATGGGGTTAATAAAGCGTCTGAAGAGTGAGCAAATTGGTCATTGCACATGCATTCTGAAGACTTAGGAACTGCGTCAAGTTTTAGCAGAGCTTCCGAGATTGAATTGTCACTTTGAACTAAAGCATTGTCAAAGGTGTATTTTATAACAGTAGGCTAAGAATTTCATTAGCTAGTTGACAACTGGTTAATTTCATGTCGACGTTTTATTAAAACAGCATCGAACACCTCCAACAACCAATTCGCTGCGATGGTAGTCCAGATGGCGCATAAAATGCTGCATTTGAACGCCTCATCAGCGGATGCATGAAATTTTAATATTTATGATTGAGTTGAAGAGGGAACAGTCGAAAGAATGAGTCCATGCAAGCCAATATCATTCCACAACGCAGTCCAGTAAGATCAGTTTCCAATACAAAGCTTCAGATTAGCCCGTGAACATCTGCTGACAGTTACGATTGAACAGTTGGATTTTACGGCCGCGTGATTTGCGAGTGG